CATCTCGCTCTCGCACGCTGACCGCCGACGCAGCGGGCCTGCCTCCCCTGAAGGCACCCGAATGCTATCATTCCGGCCCCGACGACCTGGAGACAATCATGTTCACCCAGTTCATACGTATCTTCACGAAGACTTCTGCCTCATAACCTGCGCGCGCTCCCAACAGCGCATCGAAGCACCCATCAGCAGCCCAGGGCCCACACCATCCTGCAAGCATCAGCCCGATCTCATGCCTACGCTGCCGCAAGTCCAGCACATTCATCACGATGATCTGCACCTCCTCGTTGTCGAGTGCATGGCATCCACCCTGCTTCATCCCCTCAGTCTCCAGCGCCGCAACCTCATCCGTAGCAGCAGTCTCACGCTGGGTCTTCGGCGCGGACACGTCTCCCTCCTCCTCCTCCTCCTCCTCCTCCTCCTCCTCCTCCTCCTCCTCCTCCTCCTCCTCCTCCTCCTCCTCTTCCTCTCCTTTCCCCCCTTCCATCCTCTCACATCCTCCCCCCGCTCCTCTCTGTCTCATCCCTCCTCCCCCCCCCACACCTGTTCCCGCCCACCTCCCCGTCGCATGCTCCCCCACCCCGACGTCGGTGCCTCGCTCGCGCTTCCCCCCTGGAGGCACCCCCCTCCTCGCGCTCCGGGCCGGAGGAGGAGGAGGGGGAGGAAGGGGGGAGGGGGAGAGGAGGAGGAGGAGGAGGAGGAGGAGGAGGGGGGAGGAGGGGGAGAGGAGGAGGGGGAGGAGCGAGGACCAGCGCCTCTGCGACGTGATCGCCGAGTACAACCCGCAGATGCAGAGCGCTCTGGCCTCGGAGGCCAAGGGGGGCAGGGGAGGGGCCAGGACGCGGAGGAGGAGGGAGGAGGAGGAGGTAGAAGGAGGAGGAGGAGGGGGAGGGAGGAGGAGGAGGAGGAGGAGGAGGAGGAGGAGGAGGAGGAGGAGGAGGAGGAGGAGGAGGAGGAAGAGGAGGAGTAGGAGGAGGAGGAGGAGGAGGAGGAAGAGGAGGAGGAGGAGGAGGAGGAGGGGAATGGAGGGTGAACTGGAGGAGGAGGAGGATGAAGAAGGGAGGAGGATGAGGGTATTGATGACGACGTGGAAGAAGATGAAACGGATTGAGAGGGTAGGGGAAATGAGGACCAGGAGGACGAGGAGGAGCACAGCACAACCAGGAGGAAGGCGACGACGATCAGGGGGAGGAGACAACAAGGAAGGCGAAAGCATGGTGCGAAGGAGGAGGACGATGAGAAGAGCAGGAAGAGAGGGACATGACGAGGAGGTGGGGGAGAACGGATGGGGAGGACGAGGTGTCCACTCGTACCTTGACACACGGAGCTGCGTACGGCCTCTTCTGCCCCTGGGCCGCCCACCTCCCCCCACCGAACGCATAGCGGCGCTGGGGAGAGCACCTCAGCGCAGGGCTGCCCGGCGCTACCCTGTCCCTGACCTGCCTTACGCCCCCCCGCCTCTCGCATGGATCGGTGATTGGACGGGGCTAGGACGAGGATAATCCGTTCCAGAGCGTTCTGGAACGCTCTCAGAGCGTTCCGGAACGTTATGACAAGGCCGCGGCGGCCGAGACATCCTCCATAGCCACCAGATCCCAGAGAGTCCCGATTCATCCTCACCCGATGTTATCCTTGTCCTGCCTTCGTCTTACCCTCTCATGGACAGGTGTTGTCGTGCCTTCGTCTTACTCTCTCATGGACAGGTGAGGGGAACCCGCCGACCCAGACCCCCGACGTCATGATTTTTTCATGACGCGACCCCCAGAGGTCCGGACCCATTCCCCGGGACCGGCTTTTCGTCCTGAGTCGTTTTTTGACTGGCCTGAGGGCCGGTAAGGGCCCCCCGGAGGCCGAAAATAGCGAAAAACCTCGCGTCGTGATTTTTTCATGACTCGAGGGGGTCTGGGTCTCTCATGGACAGGTGAGGGGAACCCGCCGAGGGTATCCATGCACCACCACCATGCCTGTCCGGGGCCATCCTGGGCGTTAGGATGGTCTCTAGGCGCCCCCCGGCCTCGACCTCGGCCCGGAGGTTTCTGCACAGTGGTGGGGCCCACGACGGCCCTGGCCAGGCACGGCAGGCGCAGATGCCATATGCGTAGGGCAGGGCCGGGCGGGGTTGCTCCCTCCCCAGACCCCCCCGAGTTATGAAAAATTCACGACGGGAGGTTTTTCATTATTTTTGGCCTTTGGGGGCCCTTGCCGGCCCTCGGGACCGTCAAAAAACGACTCAGGACGAAAAACCGGTCCCAGGGAATGGGTCGAGACCTCGGGGGGTCGACGTCATGAAAAAATCATGACGTCGGGGGTCTGGGGAGGCCCGGACCCATCCCCCGGGACCGGCTTTTCATCCTGAGTCGTTTTTTGACGGGCTTGAGGGCCGGTAAGGGCCCCCCGGAGGCCGAAAATAGCGAAAAACTTATCGCGTCGTGATTTTTTTATGACTCGAGCGCGGCGCTCCCCTCCCGCCTCGCGGGCCCGCGCGTCTCCCTCGGAGCCCGCGCCCCGCGCCCGCCGCGGGCGCCCGCGGTCGGGGCCCGCGGGAGGGCCCGGCCGTTCCCCGGAGGGGGGGGGGGGGCGCGAGGCCGCCTACAGTCGCAGCGGGCACCTCCTGAGGCAGTCGAGGACTTAGTGGGCCCTGGAAACGACAGGGCCTTTTTTTTACCGGTTCCGTGTTGCCGTTTTTGTTGCGGGTTCCGACGCCGTTGTGTTACCGGTTCCGTCGCCGTTTTTTGACCGGTTCCGGCTCCGGTTCCCATCCTGGAGCCGTTGTTGTTGCCGTCTCCGGTCGCCGTTTTTTTGCCGTTTCCATTTGCAAGGGGCATTTCTTTGGAAACGGTGCAAAAACGGCCCTGCCGTTTCCGGGGCCCATAAAGGTCGAGGAGAGGGGGGGAAGGGGGAGGGGGGAAGGCTTCTTGGAGGGAGGCTGCCTCTCAGAGGCCGCGGGCCTCACATCTACAGACAGCGCCCGCGCCTTCCAAGAAGCAGGGGTGCTTCTAAGATGCCTTCCCCCCTCCCCCTGCCCCCGAGCGGCGGGGCCGCTCCGTCAGGACAGCTGCCCATACCCCGGACGGCGCACCGTGCCCAAACGGAGCACCTCGCCTAGACGCTGTCGACGTATTGCTGACGTCTGGAGCATTCGGTAATGTTGTGCATGGCATCGCACTGTGAGCAGCTTCAAGCAGGCCGATCTCGCCGTCGTGGTCACGCTCGTGTTATGCTCTACGCCGTCTGGGCGATCATCACATCGAGCAATGTTTCGTGCTGAAGCATGCCGAGGAACAATTGGATAGACCCAGGCTGGCCTTCCGCGGATGCACAGTCGTACAACCGCTCGAACACGCAATCGTTATGCATCAAGTTGTAGTACCCGAAAGCTTGGGCCCCCGATCTTGGCATATCTTGCCGCGCCTTTGCTTAGAGTATTTGCCGTAGATCTCCAGGCGCGATTCTGGGTTTTTCATTTCGGTCTACCCATCGCTCTGCATGTGCGCCAAAGGGTCCAAGGACTTCCCACTTGGCTGACAGGGGCCGGCCTTGCTTTCAACCCAACGAGACATACGAGGCTGCCCTCGCATGGACCTCGTCACTCAGCTGGTGGTCCTCGTAGCCCTGCCTGTTGCCCTCGTAACGCAGTTCGTGGTCCTCGTAGCTCTTCGCGTGGCTCTCGTAGCGCTGCCTCTGGTCCTCCGAGCTCAGCTCGTGGTCCTCGAAGGTCCGCTGGTGGCCCTTGCAGCCCAGCTTGTGGTTCTCGTTGGTCAGCTGGTGGCCCCCTTAGCTCTGCCAGAGGTTGTCGTGGGTCAACCTGTGGCCATGGCAGCTTCGCTGGTGGCTCTCGCAGCTCAGCGGGTGGCTCTGGCAGCTCAGCCTGTGACCCTCGTAGCTCTGCCGGTAGCTCCCGTAGCTCAGCTGGTGGCTCTGGGGGCTGTGCTTGCGGCCCTCCTAGCTGAGCTTGCTGCCCTCGCAGCTCATCAGGGGGTCCACGCAGTCGTGCTGGAAGTTCTCGAGGCTCTGCTCGGAACTCTTGCAGTTCAGCTGGTGGCACTCGCAGCTCGGCTTGTGTTCCGCGGAGCTCCGCTCGTGGCCTTCGCTGCCCAGCTGCTGGCTCTCGCAGCTGAGCCAGTGGTCCTCGTAACCTCGCGTGTGGCCCTTGCATTCTGGCATGTGGTCCTCGTTGTTCGGCTGGCAGCCCTCGTAGCTGAGGTGGAGGTTCTCGTAGGTCAGCCTGTGACCCTGGTAGCTCCGCTGGTGGCTCTCGTAGCTGAGTAGGATGCCCCGGTAGCTCCTCAGGTGGCTGTCAGCTCAGCTGGTGCCTCCGATAGTCAGCTGATGGTCCTCGTAGTTCTCGTCGATCAGCTGGTAGCCCTCCTGGTTCAGCCGGTGGTCCTCGTTGCCGTGCTTGCGGCCCTTGTAGCTGATCGTGCGCCCCCCCGTAGCTCAGCTGGTGGTCCTCGTAGCCCTGCGTGTGGCCCTCGTAGTTGAGCTTGCGGCCCTCGCAGCTCAGGAGTCGGCTCTCGTGGCTGCGCCGGTGACCCTCGTAGTTCAGCTTGTGGTACTTGAAGCTCTGCTGGTGGTCCTACTAGCTCTGCTGGTGGCTGTCATCTTTCTGCTCGTGGCCCTCGTAGCCCTGGTTGCGGCTCCCGTGGTAGCTCCGCTGATGGGTCTCGTGTGTCTGCCTGTGGCTCCCGAAGCTCTGTGGCTATTGTTTTACAGCATGTGGGGCCGTAGTTTGTATTGTTTTCTGTGCGCCTAGGTCGGCTGGTTGGCCTCGAAGGTATTCTGGAGGTTATCGTAGTTCTGCTGGTCGTCGGAGCTTCGCTGTTCCTCGCTGCGGAGTTTGGATGCCCTCCTCGTGCTCGTACACCTGGTCCAGGACGTAGTCGAGGAGTACGTCCACCTGTGCGTCCATCTGCACGTCGGAGTCCACGAGGTCAGAGTCGGAGTCATCGGCTGCCAAGTCATGGTGCTCAGTGGTGTTCTACGTTCTGGGTGCAGGCGCCATGCAGGGGATCGTACTGGTCACGCGCAGGTAGCTCGGCAGGGGGACCTGGTGCCAAATCTGGTGGTCCTCTGCCGGTGGCCCACGGAGCGCAGCTGGTGGTTCTCGAAGCGCTGCCGGCGGCACTCGTAGCACAGAAGGGGGCTTCCGGGTGTTCTGCTTCTTGCCCTCGCAGCTCTGCCGGTGGCCCACGTCGCGTCGCAGGTTGCTCTGGCAACCGGCTGTGCCTGTGGAGCTCGCGACTCTGCTTGTAGCCCTCGTGGCTCCGGTGGCAGGGGGAGGAAGCCATACGCGGTGTATTCGTCACAGCAGTTGTACTCGTCGTGTCCGTTGCAGGCGTCGTAGTCGTACTTGTCGTGGGCGGCGCGGCCATTGTCCACCGGCACCTCCACGACGACGCACTTCGTAACCTCTTTGGGCTGCTCGGGCGTGTCGTTCCTGGTGTCGATCCTGACGGCGTACTTGGTGTCATAATGGTGGTGGTTCTCGTCCTCGCGCTGCTTGTTACGTAGCTCATTCTCGTACTTGGGCTGCCTGTTACGCAGCTCGGTCGCGTATTTGGGCTGCCTGTTGCGCAGCTCGTGCCTGGACGCCTTCGCGAGGGTGGCCGTTGCAATGACAATGATGGCGTCGGATCGACGCTGTATCCCGTGTCGGACGTTGTACCCAACTCGTTTTTCGGCCGCGTCTGTCCGCGCCCGTGTTCCGCTATGTGCGTTCTCGGCATATTCGCCGGTAGGTTGCCAACAAGGTGCCAGGGTGGGCAGGTCTCGTAGCCCCTCAGATCTGTTGACGGTGTCCGCCTCGCACCTTCGTGCCATGGCGGCGCCCCCCTGACCGCGGCCGCGGGTTTGGGGGCTGAGGCTGGCCCACAGGGCGCGCAGGGCGCGCGCGCGCGGGCGAGTGCGGAGGATGGATCCCGCATATGGGCTTGACGCACTCTCCTCCTTCTCCTCCCGCGCGGGCGCTCCCGCGGGCGGGTGGAGCTGAAGGAGGAAGAGAAGCAGGGTGGAGAGTAGAGTGAGGAGGAGCAGGAGGATGTGAGGGGGAGGGGAGAGGGGGGGAGGGAGGGAGGGAGTGAGGGAGGGAGGGAGGGGAGGAGTGAGGTAGTGAGTCAGTGAGGGGAGTGAGGGGAGGGAGGTGAGGGAGGCAGGGGATGGAGGAGGGAGGGAGGAGGAGGAGGAGGAGGAGGAGGAGGATGGAGGAGGAGGAGGAGACGACGACGACGACGAACGACGACGACGACGACGACGACGACGTCGTCTATGTCGCAGCGATGGCCGGGGCAGGGCTGGCCGGAGCACATCTGCGACCGGCTGGGCGGCAGCGCCGCCGCCAGGGCGCCCGGCGCCGGCGCCCAGGAAGGGGGGGAGAGGAAAAAACACACAGACACAATGAATCCTCGATTGCCCCGAAAAAGTTGGGAAATATGGGCCGTGGGGGGGGGGGAAGACAGAAGCCCAGAACCTATGGGAGAACATGGGGAATCTGTTTATGTGTGTGTATTTATGTGTGTGTGTCCTGGGGCCCCTTCAGGAAGGGGGGAGAGAGAGAGAGAGAGAGAGAGAGAGACAGAGAGACGGAGACCCAGACATCCGACGTCTCGATTGTTTCGAGACACGGGCCCCCGACCTCCCGACCACTTCCCCGGGACCGGTTTTTCATCCCGAGTCGTTTTTTGACGGTCCCGAGGCCCGGCGAGGGCCCTGGGAGGCCGAAAATAACGAAAAACCTCCGTCTCGATTTTTTCGAGACGACCGATGTCTGGGGAGGGAGTTCTCGTCAGGGGCGCCGGCCGGGGGGGAGGACCGGCCCAGGCGGGGGGCGCAGCACCGACCACAGATCGCCCGTGCCTCCCCCTGGTCGGGGCCCGGGTGCGCCCGCCCCGCCCCGCCCACCCCCCGCCCCCTGCTGCCACGGCGGGTGGCGCGAGCTGCCTCCTCCTCTCAGCCCAGCTGCAGTACGCGACGCACGAACACAGGCAGCAGATATGGCTGGCTTCAGTACTGGTGGCAGGTGTACGTCAACTATCAACGTCATCTTCTACGGCGAGAACGAACCAGCCACAGCCTGCCTCCAGCGCCAGATAAAGGAATGGATACAGACATGGTAAAAAGAAGTACCTGCCCATGAGCGCCTACGACAAGGATTGTACGAAAATCTACAAAGATTCCAGAAGATGAGACCACGTGGACGTTGGAACTCAGTCACAGGACCCATGGGCGCCCTTATCTTATCCTTACAGCAGTTGGGATGGAAGCCACACCGACCTGATGAATGGGAAGATCCAAGAGGCAATTTGTGGAAGTTCCGAGATGACCAGGCCCTGGATTTTAAGGATATCATGCGTACCATTGCAGCGGACATGGAGGCGCAGATATGGATCAAGGCCGCCGACCACTACTACGGCAAGGGCATGCAGCACGGCATGGACACCACGATGCTCAAGCGCACACTACAGAAGTTACGCAAAGCTGATCGCATACAAGAAGCTGGAGCGCTTGAAGCACTGGCATGTGGAGCAATATGGACGGGGCAGCGGTGCAAAGATGCTGGCTACAAAACTGACGGCAAGTGTCCAAGATGTTCCAAAGCGGCTGACACGATCAAGCACAGGATCTACGAGTGCGAAATGAATGACAACTTGAACATAGAGGCCGTCGTCAAGTCACAGTCGCTGTGCAAGCGTGCGCTGGAAGAAATGTATAACGACCCTGACGCAGAGGCGTTCTGGCTACGCGGATTACTTCCTCAACATCGCAACCCAATCCCATCAGCGCCGGCTTGGGGATCATGGAATGGAAGTTATTGGACAACGGCCACGGCAGGAACCAAAGTATATTCACAGGAGCTGGTCACCATCAACCCCGTATGTTGCGCGATTGCTTTCGTGGATGGATCAGGCACAAGCAATGACAAGCGTATCAACAGAGTGGGATGGGGACTTACACTTCAGCTACGACAGGGACCGCCAGAACATAGACCAGGACAAGAGCGACTGTGGTGCCAAGACGCACTCTTGGAACAGGGGAGCCTCTCTGAGGCTGTTCGGGACCCTCACCCGATGGGCGTCCAAGCCACGAGTGGGTCTTCGTATGCCATGTTGGACTTCGGCGAAAAACCCCCTGCCCAGAGTGACGGCACACCGCAGATGGGGAGCCCTTCGGGTGCTGGTCGGGACCTCAGCCCGCTGGGCGCAATAACCACGGATGGATCTTCGTACGCCACGTTGGACTTCGGCGAAAATACCCCAGCAGGTCGCACGGAAATGGGAGGCCAAGTGAAGCAAGTACCGACCGACGAGACCACGGAGCAGCCGCACAAGGATGTGATGAATGACCTCGGAGTCTGGGCAGCGACTTGGACAGTATTCATTGATAACGACGAAGTTCGCAACCACGACAGCTGGAAACTATGGTGCGAGCCGTACATGAAGCAGTTCCTACGCCAACCAGAACAAGCGTGCCTCTTGCAGTTTCTCACAGCACGGTACCAGACCCGCAGCAGCAGCCAGCTCGCCAAAGATCTATGTGACATCAGATGGCGCACCTCCAAGAGGCGGCGCAAGGATGTATATGACTACTACCTCACGCTCCAAGGATGGGAAAGACAAGCTTACGTCCAACACTGGTTTGACAGCGTTGCCGAAATTGAAGAAAAGTTTCGACAGCTCCTACGCGACCAGGCACCCACCCTCGAAGATGAGTTTCCCGAGTACGATGAGGATAGCGATACGGTAATGGACATGGCGAACCCAAGCTACGTCACGCACGTCCTCAATGTGAACAATCAGATCGACATCAGCAACGGCGTCATTGCAGATACCCATCATATCGGTTTTTACGGCACGGTGGATGGAGAACAGAGTGTACCTGCAGCAGAACATGCGGGATTGTTTTGGGCCTTGGCGCTGACGAAAGGGCCGATAACCATCTACACTGACTGCCAGCAAGTTGTGAATGGTTGGACCCAGCGGTTTTACGAACATCCTCAAGGTGCCTTGAAGGAATGGTGGGGCGTATCGGTGCTATGATCAAGAAGCGGCCTGGTGGAGTACATCAGGTGGTTATTATCAAATGTTTATCTCATCTTGACCATGAATCAATCAAGCAGTCCAAACAAGATTTCCAGATCAGCCTCGGAAATGAAATGGCAGATACTCTTGCGCAACGTGGAGCTGAAGAGGCCATGAACGATATACGTGAGGAGGTCAAGCAGCTTACTGAAGTGGAAACATTGTTGATGCGTGTCCAGCGTCGTGCGGCCGCCATCATCTTCGACATGTGCAAGGACGCGGACCCAACCAAGCTGGACAGGCCCAAGCAGCAGCGGCACAGAGCGTTCCACTTACGACGTGAGCAGCGCCTCCAGCTACAAGAAGTTTCTGGACATGATATGAAAACAATGAAAGGACGTTGGGTCTGCCAAGAGTGTTGGAAAACTCCAGGCAAGTATAGTCTTTTTGATTGGTTGAGAACCACTGTTTGTATTGGACGGCAGTATGCAGTACACCGAGCTGATCATGGGCATGCAGTACAGGTACCCAGCAATGAGATGATTGAAATTCAAGATGAAGTGATCCACCCGAGCCACTCGATTTCTGTTGCTCATGGGCAGTTCTGGTGTTGGAATTGTGCAGCGGTGGCGTCACACAGTGATGAAGGACATGGGCGTGTATCCCTTCTGGCAGCGAAGTGCAGAGAGCAGATCACGCAGAGTGGCCAGACACTTTTCCGACGTCTACGCCAAGGGTTACCCCCTAAGGCTGGCCAGAACTGGCCAGATGGCACGGTGCCGCCCAACGGCGGCAAGCTACCACGAGTCGCAGCTGGGCGTCGTCAACGTGTGGCTGCTGAGCGGCGACAACGTGGGTGAGTACGCGGCTCGGGGCTTCGGCCCCGCAGATATACTCTGCCCTGGAGAGGCAGTGAGGTGGAGGCCCGCCCTGTCTCTGGGGCTGGCTCGCGACCTCACGGGGCAGCTGCCCCCAGCTGCCCCGCTGCT